GGAGACAAACAATAATTGGGTACTCGCTATGTGGTAGGTGGATCCCCTGAGTCAAAGCATTGCCATTTTTCCGGCCAGTTGCCTCAGGGCACCGATTGGTTGGGATTGGCCAGTTTACCCTTATTCCAGAAAACCTCACCAACACCACTAAGATTCACCTCAAAAGGAAAGCCGAGCCCCCAAACGAATCCTGAACTGGCCTGGAATCAGCCTTGATGCATTCCCAAAGCCCTCAACTCACCCAGACCAAGAACCCACCCTCACCACCCTCAACTGAGGCTGGAGCGAGAGATTCCCACCATGTCCAGTTTGCCCACTGATTGACATGGGCAAACATCTGTTCATCAGAAGATCCCTACCAAGTCACTTTGGCTAGTGGCTCCTGTTGGTTGGTTGGTTGGTTGGTTGGTTGGTTGGTTGGTTGGTTGGTTGGTTGGTTGGTTGGTTGGTTGGTTGGTTGGTTGGTTGGTTGGTTGGTTGGTTGGTTGGTTGGTTGGTTGGTTGGTTGGTTGGTTGGTTGATTGGTTGTTTTTTCATTGGCTGGCCGGCGGCTGGCCGGTTTGCTGGTTGCTCGGTCGGTCGGTCGGTCGGTCGGTCGGTCGGTCGGGCGGGCCTTTAACGGGAACGAAAGGGATTGAGCCAAAACGTGGTTTCTTATTTTGTTTGCCTTTCAACATCCCTCCACCCTTTCCTGGGAGACCCGTCAACACAAAATGTAGACCCTCAAAAAGAGGTCCTGGCTTCTTGCAAACGTGGGCGGGCAGTGTTGAGCCAGGTTCTTCCGAACAGTTCTAGCCACCCAGTCCAGACATGGTTGCTTTGTGTGGGCTTTACACGAAATGGACCTCTGGTCCAGCCCTACAAGAACTAAGAGGCTTTTGAGTACTTCAAACTTGATTGGCCGTGGTGCCTTGTGCCACAATTGCTCCATTGTGGACATGTCCATTGTTTTTGAACATATATATATATATATACATATGTAGATATATATATATATACATAGGTGTATATATATATATATGATTTGTTTGATTTCGCTTCTTCTGCCAGCGTGTCGAGGGCCGCGTTTGGAGGCTGCAATTGGATCAGTGTGTCCGAGTTTAAATGCGAGAATGGCCACAACCAAGGCGCCAGGCCTACGTTTGTGCTCCCACCCTGCCGATCTGCAAAAAAAGAAGCACGAACCACTGCTAGCAGGACAAAGAAGAAGCCGACCCTGATGCGTTTTCTGATTGTTAGCTTCCTTTCACAGGGTTCTTTTTGGTGGGGTGATGTTTAAGAGGGTATAGCTAGGGAACCCTGTCTCAAAAACAGACAAGTTGCATCAAGAAAGGACGATGATGCACGCCTACGCTGCGGCTGCCGCCCAGTTCTTCCTCCGTGTGGCCGCGGCCTTAGAAATGCAACGGGGCAGGGCGTTTTTGGCTTGCAAATGTATAGAAACAACATGTTCTTGGGAGAATTCAATCATGTTTCAATATGGAACTGGTCCATTTCCAGTGGTTTGTTTTGCGCAGAGGATTCCAACATGCGAAAAGGGGTTCCCCCTCCGGCTGCGCAATCCTTCGCCGTAACCAGCTGTGGGAACCAGAAATTGGAGCATAGGGGCAAAGAAGAAGCATCGGGCTCCCGGATCGCCTGGTTTTTCTCTCCGAACTGTGCCTGACTTTCCAGGCACAGGGTCTCGGAGAAATTGCCACAGCATCTGTGCCTTGTTCCATTCGCCCCATGGGTCCTCCTCCTCCCAGGCCTTCGTTTCGTGGGCCTCCAAGTGGCAGAGGCGTCACTGATGGGTCGAGAAGTGGGTCATGTTGGCCCCGCTTGCCGTTTTTAAGGCCAACCTGAAGGAGGTGCCACCAAAAAAACAGACCAGTGTTGGTGAGGCTTGCCTTGAGCAGGGTGATGTTTAAAGGGGACGTTTAAATAATTTTGCGGTTCGATGGAATGGGGCTTCCGCCTTTTCTGGATGGTTTGATAATGCGAAGCAAACGGCACACACAAATCACCAGTGGACAAGGAGATGAATCCTTGGCACCGTCCTGGACAAACCCCTCATGTTGTAAGGGGGTCAAAATTGAGACCATGAATATTTAGAATACTTGGATTGGAATTCAGGGAAAACTAGCTGGCAACCCGCCGTCATGTAGAGTAGTTTCTCGGACCTCGATTTGGGCGCATCGTTGTCTTTGGGCCCGTTTGAACCTGCACCGCTTTGAGAGTCTGAATGTAACACGGTCCGAAGTGGCCATGCTCGTGGCGGAACGCGCCTCCCCCGCTTGAGCGAATATCCAAGAGGAAGCCGCGACTTGGAGGGCCCAACTGCAGCCGCTTTACTAGGGAAAGGCGTCGTGCAGCCGCCTGTTCGCCAATCTTGTTGGCTACACACGGAGGTGTGGAAGGCACGCCAAAGACTCGGAGGCGGGTGTTTGGGTCTCTCCACAAATAGCAAAGCCTGGCAAGGGTTGGTTCCTGTGGCTTTCTTTTGAAAGCATGTGAAGGGGGGTACCTCATTTTGGCCGTTCTGAACGGATATTTTAATGGACTCACATGAAATTGGGCCGCGCGCATCCAAGCTCGGGTCAGATTTTGACACCGCACTGGGTCTTGACAATTAAGAAAACAGGTCTATTTGGACAAATTGTCATGTGTCAAAGTCGGGGCCTTTTTGACTTGGATTGGCCTCGGCCTCCAAGTGTCAGAAATTCCTTGTGGGAAGGTTGTGTTAGCGGTAAACCACAACGCACACGGATCCGTTTTTTTTGCTTGGTTGGTTGGTTGGTTGGTTGGCTGGCTGGCTGGCTGGCTGGCTGGCTGGCCGCATCCCCGGCATCACCAGCCTCACTCCGTTTGTTGGCTCTGATTGGGTGGCAGTTGGGAGTTGCTGGAGGCTGGGGCTTGGGCTGGCTTAGATCTTCATGAGGGTGGGTCTTCGGGTGGTTTGGGGTTGATTTAGGCGAAGCGAAGGGCTGACGTCCAGGCTGCTGTTGGGCGGGTTTGGGGTTGACTTTGAGTGGGTTTGGGTTGGTTTGGAGCTGATTTGTGTTAGGTGTGCTGCTGGTTTAGCAGCGGCTTTAGGGTTTCTTTAGGGTGTGATTAAGTGAGTTTTGGTCACTTTTCGGATCAGTTTTGGGGCGTTGCCCCAAACCACCAAAACTCGTCCACAACTCACGTAACCACACCCTAAAGCAACCCTAAAGCCGCTTCTAAACGCCTGGATGTCAAAAGCCCCCCTAACTTAAACCAGCCCCAGCAACTCCCAACTGCCACCCAATCAGAGCCAATAGGCAACCCCAGGTCCAAGTGATGCTGGTGATGCTGGGGATGTTGTCAGCCCTTCGGAGAACCAGCCCTAGTAAAGAAAGAAGCACCGTTACCAACGCACACACACAACACACACATTTGATGGGGTAAATGTAGGTTTTCCTTCAGGCGCTAAAGCTTGCCCAACTCGTTTCGACAGACAGAAACTGTTTGTGAGTGTGTGTGTGTGTGTGCCTTGTTTGCGGGTACCCCATAAAGGGACATCAAAAGGAAAACCATCATTCTTTGGGGTCCCCACACTTGGACTTATACCCAAGTGTTCATCGACTCCAAGACCAGGCGGAGGAAGAAGATGAAGGCTTGGGGCTCAGCCAGGCGAAACACATGGGGACCCCGGATCAATAAACCGCTGGTGGAATAATTGTGGGTATGCCAAAAATGTGGGTGTCCCATTTGTAGGGGGCACCCCACTTGCAGGGGGTGTCCCATGTTAGAGGAACCCCCAACTCCCAAGATTTCTTGACCCAGGGTGGACATTACGGTCATGTTGATCAACCCAAAGCTCTCTGCTGACAGGAGGAATGGCATGGGGCTTGCCTGCACTCCCAAATGGGTAACCAAAAGAACCTTGTCGGGGTACGGTTCGACACAACAAGCAAGGATTTCTTGTTGAAGACCATGAGTGAGTTTCCGACCAGTTGGAGAGGGTCCCAGCTGTTACTCTTGACACAACCAAGCCACAAGAAATGGGGCGGAGTGGGGTGGCATTTGAGCGTGTCTTGTTTTGAGGGTACCCTCTCTTTGGGGATACTTAAAACAGGAAAACCGAAAACCCACCTCTTTGGAGGTTCCCCTTTCTTGACACACACACACACACACCCATGTGCACACCAAGCCAAAAACAATGCCCGCACCTCCTCCCACCTGTTTTGCTGAAAGCAGTGAGGTTGCGCGGAGCAGCGACCTGAGCGCCTTTGACCGGTTGGAGCGGCAGGCATGGCCCTACCTAAAAGCTTCCCGCACCGGTTCGCCTCTTTTGTGCAGGGGCAATCGGAGGTGGCCCGACTCGGATGAAAGGTGTGCTAACATTGGATGAATCCGGAAGACCCTCTAAAATAGGTGATACCCCTACAAAAAGGGAATCACCCCTGATTGGTACCTTCCTCCGGATCACTCCAAAGCTGACCTTCCCCATGTTGGCCGCATCACGCGACGCTTTGAGCCTCACACCAGCTGTTTTTTTTGCGGCGCCGAGGCCTGAGCCAAAGGCGCAGGCGGGCTTAGCACCTGACCCATTGGAGGAGCACTTTTTTTCAATGGGCCCGAGTTTTCGATTTTGATCACTTCACCTTGTGGTTTCCGGGCCCGAACAACAGGTTGGGGGCAAGAAAGCAGCTCCACGTTGTTTTGCTTTGAGTTTTTTTTGTGGGGGGTTGTCCAAATTCGGGTGCCTGCCCTTGAAAGGCAGGCCAGCTCATCATAAAACCGGCATTCGCGAAGTAGTCATGTTTTGACAACCTCCCATCAGCTTTCAGCGTTTTCGGCTTACATGACTTTGGTCGAGCTGGATTTGTGTTGTGCCTCGCGCGTGGCTCCATCCCAGCGTTCCAAGCATCAAATATTCTGATCAGGCACAGCCATTGCGGGTCGGTCATGTTGCCGTTCACGAACCGACCGACCAGCGACACAACCCAATTGCGGCAGACCTCCGTGCGAAAGGGCGAAACAAGCAGAGCAGC